TAATAAAGTAAAATTAAAAGTAAAATAAAAGTAAAGTAAACAACAAACAATATATATATATATATATATATATATATATATATATATATATATATACTATTTTCTATGTAAGATGTGTATTGCCAAATTCAAACTAACGTTTTAGTGGATGGTGCAGTTTTTGTAGATGTTAATAAACTTTTAGTTATATTAGCTTTAATGTTTAACAGATATTATTTTAAATATAACACAATTCATAAAACTCATTATAAAGTATGTCTCCTTTTGGGCTTCACTGTTGCAAGTTTCTTGTTCAACTACACTTAGTAATATCTATCGTTTATAAGTTTCTCACATCTTTAATTCACATATCCTTGAATTCATGTAGCATATTTCAAGAAAATAGTCTGTATCCAGAGCTAGGATGTTAAACAATGAGAAACAGTATAATGTCCTAAATCTTGAAACAAATTTGAAACTATTTAGTATCTAGTTACTGAGAAGAATTCAACATTTTTTTCTAATGATTAATAGATACAGCATGATGTTATCATAAATTCAAAAAATCTATTCATAATTACAAGTAGTGCGCTAATAATTGTACAGTGAGAGAGACTGGACAAAAAATGGCATTACTTTGGAGGGCATTGTGGTTTTCCATCATATCAATCCTTTAGTTCTTTTTCTCATTTGCTTAGGAAATTTTTCATTGGGTTGGGTTTGAAATCTGGATGAGACTGAAGATATCCTGCAACATCTTTCTAGAACCATAAAAGTCTACATTAAAATTATAGATGTTATTTTAAATACCCCATTGCATCTTATAAAAACATATCTGGTACTTCAAATTTTAAATGGTATTTAAGATATCTAGTTGCTTGCTTCAGAAAACCCAAAAGAAACCTTTTAACCATAAGCACTGAGTTAAAAGGGGCAAAGAAACATTTTAACCTTCAATATTTATTTTGAGGGACATAGCCCCACCAAAGTAAAGCCAATGTGGAAGGAGTACATGGCACTCTACTAATAGTAGTATAAATACAACAACTAGAGATCTAATTTTTATGTTAAAGTTTCCTTACATGAGTTATTAATATTATTTAGTTTTTTTTATGTTAACTAGAAGTTATGGATAACTCCATTAATTAAATGACAAACCTTTGCGATAACCTGTTTCACTCAAAAGAAAAAGAGTGAGTTTTTTTTTTAATTATAGTGACATTTTATTGTTCTCCTAATATGTGATTTAACTGCAATTTATTTTTTATTTCAATGGTAATTTACATTAATTATATTTTTGTGTCAGCATAACTAACTGTACAGAATGTTGTTGATTTTCATTACGTTAAAGATAATGTTTTTTAATTTGGATATATAATATTGATTTCTATTTATGCTATGGATAAAGAAAGAAAAAGAAGAGCTTCCTTCCCTCCAAATTTCTTGATAGGCTGGTTGGTATCTATGTGTTACATTCTACAAAAGGAACATATTGAAATTTAAATGACACAGAAATTTGAATTATAAAATACATTTTCATGCCAAGTTTATTGACATATGTTGATAATAAAGTTGTCTGAATTTTTAATGTAACACAGTAATTCTAAAAGGAAATACTCAAAAGAGCCTTGCCCAGTATGAAGGGTTAACTTATAATTTAGTTATACTGGGTAATAAAAACTTCATAACATGCTTCCTTTAGGTATTTGTACTACAGAAAATGACCAACAAATAAGGTATAGCAACAGGATAGTTGACAATAACATGTTACATTTTTGTTTATTTATAAACAAGTATTTGATCTTGAAAATCCTCAAATACTGTGGTGACATTAATGTTTTGCATTGTTGGTAATGTATATAAAAGAAAAACATATCTAGCCCCTCCCCAACAAAAACAAATCTTACCCACTTTTTAGATGTTGAACATGATAGTCATGGGTGCTTTATCCATTCCATAGCATCAGTTACCATGTCAATAAGTGTTCTGTAATGATGTAACTGTGAAAAAGATATCATCATCTGTTGGTTATTAAACAATAAGTGATTTTAAATTTTGTAATTTTTTTTTTATATATAATTCCTTGACTATACATCTAAAAATTAATTCTTACACTAAACTGATTCTTATCTTTTGGCATTGGTAACACACCGTTAGACCACCAATCAAATTTTCCAACAGATTGCTTTATTATAATCTCTCTGCTTTGAACAAATAAGCTGTATCATTTCTACAAATTATTTAAAATTACATCTAAAAGTATAAATGAATTAAAACATGATAAATTTAACATGTTGTTATAATTATTCTCCAATAACTTTTAATCTGAAATATCTTATGAATTTTTTGAAATAATTCCACTTCCAACCAACTGGTTCAATCACAGATACACAAGTATAACAGTCCA